GTTCAACTCGATCGTTAGTCTGTTGTTTGTAAAACTACTGGGAGTGTGCATTCTACGCTCAAGCATCATTTCCTATGCTCGAGTGGAACAACTTATTGTGTCTGACGCTCGAGCATCATTTCTTGCACTCGAGCGAACTGTGCATATATCAGTTCGTAAAAGCCACATTTTACATCACTTTTTCATCTCTTTCTCTCCCTAAAACATTTCAAAACCCTAGATCTTGAGCTTCGCTCTCTAGAACTCACATTCTCTCTACTTTTTCACCTAGATCCATTGGTTTCTCCACCCTAGTGTCTTTGGGAAAAAGGTAGATCGTCTCAAGGGCTATATTTCTATCCGAGTTGTGTTTGAGTATCTTTGAAGTTTCCTCCTTGTTTCGCTCGTCTTCTAACTTTGAGATAGGGACTTTCTACACTCTTCTATGAGTTTTAACTTAGTTATTATGTATAAGAAATATTGGAACTTAAGGTGATTTTGAGCAAACCTAGGGTTTTCGTTTAAAATCAAAAGAGGGGTTTTCAAATTAAGGTATTGAAAATGGTTATGGGTATAGATATGAGGTTGTGTTGTGCTAAATTTGCTTATTTTGACACATGGGTTGGATTTGGGAGAGGATGGGGTTTTGCTCTAACTGTTTCAAATAATTATTTAGTATAAATAATGAAATTGGTATTGAAAATATAAAATTAGTTGAATGTATATATAAATGGTGGGGTTGGATGGGTATTATCTCTCACCTATGGAAATTTGGATAGTTTATCTGTTTTGGAGATTGTATATCTGTTTAGAAATATCTGTTTTGGACTATCAGTGGAGAATAACTATGATTGTTGTGGATATTGCTTGAGAATTAGGTGAATTGAAACTAATCTCTTATCAGTCATCATTGAACATGACTGTGTTTGGGAGGAGAAAGGGGATAGACTCCAGTAAATTAAGTTGGCATGTGTGTCCATGGTAAAAGTCCCAAAAATCGTGCGTATACATAAGTGCTGATTCCCGCGGATGAAATTTTTGTAGAATGGAAAATTCGAAGTGTTTGTATAATGATCATATTGATTAGAGAACCATTGAGTTGTAGCCTCAGTTGGGTTTTCTGGATAATAATGAATTTGACTCATGAGTTGAGGTGAAATGAATTGACTTGAAATGAATTGAGATATTATGATCATGAATTGAGATACAGCTTGGCATATTATGATCATGTAGAATATGAACGATTTTATTACAGGCATTGTGTATGCACATTATACTTATATCTTTGTTAAGATTCATATATTGTGCTAGATTCTCTTTATTGGGCTATGGCTCACCCTACTTGGGAAAAATATTTTCAGGTATTGGTAATATGCCTCTGCTAAGGACTTAACTTGGGAGGACATGTGGAGCTGAAGGCTCAATTCCTGTTTATTTTTTTGTATTTACTTTTCACAAGCTTAGGGCTTTAATTGTATGGAGCTTATGCTTCATTTTGTTGTAATCAAGCACGGTCTTGGAAAGATGTAAGCCATTAGGGCATATACATATTTGTTTAGCTTTCTTTTCTAATTACCATTTTGTAACACATGCTGTAGATTCAGGATGAACGATTTATGAATGTATATCGCATGTGTCACCTTTTGTACATTAACTTTGATTAGTGAAAGCTTCTTATTGCATTTATACCACTTTGTACTAATGATTGGAGTTGAATTATTGTAATTATTTTGGCGGCGTTACAATTCCCACTTGGAAGTTGTTCACTGAATTCTACAATACTTGAAATCTACCCCTGGGAAAGGTGTTCTCTTCAAGAATAATGAGGAACTAAATGAAGAATCCTACACGGATTCAGATTGGGTTGGATCAGTAATGGACCGCAGGTCAACATCTGGTTATTGTACCTTTTCATAAGGAAATTTGGTGACTTGGAGAAGCGAAAAACAAGCTCTGGTGGCTAGATCAAGTACTGAAGCAAAATTTAGAGCTATGGCACATGGAATTTGTGAACTCTTGTGGCTAAAGATTATCTTGGACGATGTGGGAGTCAAGTGCAAAGAAAGCATAAAGTTGTACAACAAGTCTACAATCAATATAACTCATAATCCAGTACAACATGATCACACAAAACATGTGGAAGTAGATCGACACTTCATCAAGGAAAAAACTGGATAGTGGCTTAATTTGTACTCCCTATGTCTCAACGAACGGGCAACTTGCAGACGTCGTGGGTGTTTGGGAAGTGGGTTTTTATGTAGGTTTTTTTAGTTGTAGGATTTTATTGGAGAAAAAAATTTTGGTATTTGGGAAGATAGTTAGGTTTTTTTGTAGTTAGATGTGATATTTCTGAGAGAAAAAGTGAAATGATTATGGGGTTGGATGTGATATTTTGTTTAGATTTGTTTTTTTTTGGTTTTGCAAAAAGTTGTCTTTTAGTGAAAAAAATCAAAAAAAACCCAACACACAAACTTCCCAAACACCACCATCTTCACCAAAGGACTACAGAGTCACTCATTTCAACATATTATGAGCAAGCTAGGAATAGACAACATTTATTCACCAGCTTGAGGGAGAGTGTTAGAGAATCTTTATGGATTTAGTTGACTTGCTGAACAAGGAATTTATATCCCTTTAAAACTATGATTGTACAACCTGTATACTTTATATTTGTTTCATGTTATAACTGCTGTTAGTTAGGCACTAATTTTTAGCGATTGTTTCCTGATTTCATGTAAAATTTGTTCCCTAAATTAGTGTCCTTTGTACTCTATATATTTTGTATGTTTTCCCTCAGTTAAAAAAAATTTTAAAAAGAAGAAGAAGAATTATTCATCTACGAATTATAGAAGTTCAACACTTCTCTAAGCAGGATGTTAAGGGACAATCTAACTCCAAGGATCGACACTACGGGAAAGAGCATACAGTTTTCTCTCGGCATTATGGAGTCATTCTCACATGCAAGTGTGATATGGATGTTGGCTGGAATGTCGTATTCTCAACGAAAGTTTTTTTTTTTTTTAAATCTTAGTGGGACTATATATTATCCCCTTGTGCATACCTATTATCTCGGTTTAGTGTTTGGGTAATGTTTTCCTAGGGTGGTTCTAATTGTTTAGGTACTCTAGACCTAGGGTTTCTGATGTAGCCCTAGGGTGTGATGGTTTGAGGATTCTGGTAATCTAATGGAGGTTATGGGGCACAATTTGTTTCGATTTCCCTAGTGTATAATGTTCTAGCAAATCCCAATCCTAATCTAAAGAATGCAAGAACAGTGGAAGATGAACAATAATTTGATGGAGAAATCGGGAAACAGTAAAGAAAATGAAGGTAGATTCAGGGCATGAACAAGAATATAAAGTTCTAGAATGCATATAGGGAGTGCAGATGGTGTAAAGCCAAATACAGATCAATAATGAACGAAAATTAAATGTGATGCACAGATTCCAGAATGTGTGATATGAAGATTGGATGTGCAAAAGTGTGTTAGGTGAATATAATTTGTAGAAAATCAATGTTGTTAGGTGGAAAACGAAACTGTCGAATGAATCTAAGCATGGGAGACTTGAAAGCATGAAGAACTATAAAAGAATGAAAAGGAAATTAAAAGGATGACGAACTTACAGATTTGAGATGGGAAAATGGGTGTCAGATTCGAGTTCTTTAGTGTCAGACAGTGCCTTTGATCGGAATAGAAGGGGTGAACGAGTGTCGGAAAAGGTAGAACGAATGAGTTGCAGAGAGCTTGAATGGTTAACAATGGTGGAATGTAAAAAGAAAAGCTCTGAGAGAAGAGAAACAGTTGGAATGATGGAATGAAAATACGGAGAGAGAAGAGAGGAAGTTTTGATAAATGGGAAAAGATGGCAACGAAATCATTTATAATGCATTGGGAGACGTGCTCACGTTGACGTCAATTGACGTTAGGCGGCGTAGGTCAGAGTTGATGTGACGCATCTATCGTGCGATGAGTACGCACTGGTAGGGTGATGACACGTTGGCGAAATGATTGAGGTTGTTATGACATGATAGCTCATGGATCTTGGGCTTTTGAAATTCTTAAACTAGCAGGTCATGATCTCGACTAGTGGTTCGATCTGAGATGGGATGTTGTATTTGAGCGAGACAGAACATGTTGGTTCTTGATTCTTGATAAGTGGACACTTGAGTCCCGGTTTCACGAAATCGACGAGTCATGATCTCAGTTAGGGAGTACCTTTCATTATGTTGTTTAGCCGACATGTTGAGAGGTCAAACAATATAGGTTCCATCACCTTACGATGCTAATGTAATAGAATCTAGGGGGTAGTTGTGGGGACATATTTTTAGGTTTGCCCACGTAGCTAAGATGATTAGCCGAGGTGCCACATGGATGGGCCATGTTGTCAAGGTTGCTATGATATTGCTGAGATATGCTGTGGTAATATCGAAATCTGAGATTGTCTAATAGCGAACAAGAGTCCTTAATAAGTTGAGGCGCTCAGTTTGGAAAAAGATGAGGCACTTAGGTGGGATCATTCTTATCTAACTGAGAGTCCAAGATAACTGTTATGCTTGAGTCCTATGAAGTGATACTTCTATGGGACGAGGGAACTGTTGACTATAAAAGTAAGGCACCCCATGAGTCTAAGATATACTTATTATTGTGAGTTGAGTACTTGAGTTGATATCTTATGAGATATGTTACTGACTTGATTGTCGGAGTGCCTCCGGGTAGACGAGCCACCACGATATTTCTTACTCTCTTGTGTGCTGGTGTTCGGCTTAATCTATCCTGTCGTGTGCTCTCCAGCTAAGTTCCTTAGATCTCAATAGAGAGATCTGTTTGGTTGTGAGGTTGGAAATCAACACCCACATATTTACATGTGGATTAATTTTATGATAGATTTCTTCATGGTTTTTTTTCTCATTTTAAGAATTTATTTATATTAATTATTTGTTGTATTTCATCTTCTTTACAATTGAAATTGATTGACTTTACTATAAATAAATAAAAAATTAAAAAAGCTAACAAATGAGGGTGTGTAAGGTGCAATTTTGACAAGTTTATTGTACAATGACCAATGTACAAGAACATCACAAAACACAAAGGCCATTTTTGTTCTTTGCAAAGGTTGCACCGAGCGCCATGGTTTTGCATAGAAGCAGAGACATTGACCATTCTGATAGGAAAAAAAAAAAAGGATTCCGATAACAGCTAACATAACATAAAATGTGAAGGAAGGAAGCAATGCAATGTTCATCAGCATTTGGATAGCCAAATTACATCAACCACAATTGAGGCAGTGAGCAAGCCGCAGCTGACAAAAGTGAAGGCTATGGAAACAGCAACACGGTCGCAGAAGCTGTGTAAGGGCTTGCAGAAATTTGGTAATGGCGAATGTTTGATTCCGGTGCGGTTCAGGTTCGTTACGCCTGATGCAGCTGATCCAGCACTCATCATTGCATATGCAAATGCCTGCAACATTACCCCAAAAATCAAGACCCTGTTGGAGAAGAAATTGTTGCTTAGAGATTTTTCATGGTGTTGAAACTTTAATCTACAAATGCAGAACTCACTGACCACTCTTGTATATTCTCAATTGAGAGGTCACAATCAATCTTTTATTTATTTATTTAGGAGTCTTTCTTTCTTTATTTAGTTCTTTCTTCTTATTGTGGGATTCTTGTATCAATATAGTGGCGGTTGGTGTTGGACTTGAATGTATGTGTTGTTGGACTTTCTTCCATAATTAATTGTTCAATTTGATATAATTCTCAATATTTGTTCAATTTGATATAATCCCCTGGTCCCGTCATGGAATAGATGAAATAAATCAAAAAATGGACTTTTGTTCAAAATTTAAATCTTATTCAAGAGTCCATATACGGTTCGTCTTTCAGAACCATATCACATCCTAGATTTGATGAAATAGGATGAATTAAGATGGTATTTTGTAAATACCTATGAAGCACAGGTACGGGTACGAGTACTGGTACTGGTACGATACGGGTACGTCGATACGGTAAAATTCAAAAAAAATAGGGTACGGGTACGGCTTGGTACGCTTGTAAAAAAATATTTATTTTTAATTTAGAGTAATGCAAAAAATAATTAAATAGTTTAATTTGTTAAGGTCCAACCTATAATTAACATTTAATGCCAAAAGAAAAAGTATAAATCAAAATTAAATATCAATATATTAAACAACTTACAAACCATAGTTTAATTTTAAAATCATGCTAAGCATAAAACAAAAACTGAAAAAGAAATCTAGTGAAATGAGTTTTATCTCTGTAGTAGAACGAAAATATTGTTTCAACTGAGGTACAGTATGGCTTGGATATATACTAGGTACGTTTGGGTACGTCAAAAATTAAGAAGAAAAAATTTGGGTACGTGTTTCGTGTACCCGGTACGTATGCAGAAATACCATACGAGGTACGGTACGCCCGTAAGTACCCGGTACGGGTACGGCATGTTTTTCGAAGTACCCATGCTTCATAGGTAAATACGTAATTATCTTGAATATATTAACCATTTTTTTATTTTCCAATTGTGTGAAAGGGACAAAAGAAAGATCCTATTGTTTCTTCTACAATTTCTAATTCCTAATGGACCTTTCAGTTTATTCTCTGATCGATTAACAAACAAAAATAAGTAAATAAAATAAACTCTACAAATGCAGGCTCTCAGGTGACGGGATCTCTACCTCCAAAATCTCTTCCTTTTGTTTCAATACACTCCTAATTGCACAATTGTGTCTCAAGATATTGTTTCAATACTTCTTACCATTGAAAAGAAAATCTCAAAATTTATACCATAACTTTGTGCAAGAATTGAATCAACTTGAACTCTTGAGAGGGCACCACTACAAGATTTAAGAAGTTCCATCCAAAGAGGGCAACCATTGTTCAACAGGTTATCTCATAGAATTTGCTACTTGTTCAACACCAAAGTATGTATTACAGTATCAAACGACCCCTTGAACAAGCTTAACCAAGGAAGATGCAAGTCATAGAGATTAATAAGATGGGAATGAAAGACAATCAATATACTGAGTTAGCAAGGAGGTAACACACTTTACCTGATCCCCAGCGAAAATAATCCAGGCATGACTGCGAGAAGGAATAACCGGAGACTTATGCAGCAACCTTGACGTACTGATGAGGAATTGAACCACAGAGTGAGCTGCAGCAGCTGCTGAAACTCCTACCAGATACCTGTCTTAGCCACAAAATTGACACATTTCAATCATCTTTTGTCATTTAAAATATATTTCTAAATTGAGAAATGTTACTATGTGCACTCTTAAAAAAAATTATATCATAAAAAAAAGTAAAGATTTTGGTGTTGAAAATTACAGATATTCGTAGTGTGTTGGGTCATTTTGTGATAAAAGTTATGAATAATAAAGTTATTATGTGCAGTGAATGAATGTTATAGATACGTCATTTTGTGATAATAGTTACTTTTTATTTATTTATTTATGATGAGTAAAATGTTATATTTTTTTGAGATGAAAAAAAAAAGATGTCATTTTGTGGTAAAAACTATAAATTATTATGGTGTTGTTATAAGAGGTAGCCCTTTCCTTCCCAATATAATCTATCTTTTTATCTTTTTTCATCACATCGCTTTATTTTTTTGCACATTTTTGCGTAAAAAGATAAAAAGTGCACTTATTTAGATCATTCCAAACAACCCCAAACAGCATCAGAACATAAACCTTAGCAATTAACTGTTGTTAGAGGATTATCACACTTGTTGGATGTTGTTAAAGGTCACGGATGGATAATTCTATTTGTACACTATATTTTGTCTCACTGCGTATTATTTGTATGGTTCATATATCAATTTTACAAAAATAAATAAAAAATTTTGGATATTAACTATCAAACAAAATTTTCAATTAATTTTAATTCAAAAATTAATGTATCTTTATAATCAATTTTTATTCAACAATTGATATCCAAGCTGCATGATATGTGCGGAAATAAAGCTTGGTGTGACAAATATAACTACCACTCAGGGGTGTCTTTCTAATCATTCCTATGCCATGCCACGAAACTCGAAGGCAAAAAGCCGATCCCAAATTTTGTCACTATCAGCCCCAAAGGGTAATATAGCCAATATCAAATTCGACCCAAAACAAAAGAGAAAATTGCAAATAAATGGTAATTTTATAAAATATTTACAAATTTATGAAAAAAAATTATAACTTTAATTATTAAAATTGATAAATTTTTTCATTAATTTGTAAATTTTTTTAATGAAATTTTTTTTTCAAAATAAAATAATAATGCATTCCACTTTTGCCGCTCCATTTTTGTCAAAATCATTACACATGGACATTTTATACGAAATTATGCTTTACACATTTAGGTCTGTTTGATTACTGAAAAAATTGGACGACACGTTATTGCTGAAAATTGTTACTTTCAATGAAAAAACTGTTTCCGGAAAATTATTTAATAATTTTGTAACACCACGTGATAATATTTTAAATTAATTATCAATTACTTAATTTTTATTTATTCTTCAATTCTCAACATAAATCATAGATCACATCTCTCTCTTTACCAATCAAAACATTATGAAATAACATGTATTCATATTTCGAAAATATTGAATAATCACTATTGGCTGAATCGTTTCATTGATTTTATTTTTCCATACAATTTCTTAGCAAGCAAACGGCAATAACGAACTCAAGTTGAATGGAATTTGAGAAATATTGAGGTGATTAAAAGGTGCATACACGAAGGAATCAGCGAAAGACCACTTGGAGTAGACAGGGAGGCTAAAGCCGTAGATGGAGACGGTGGAAGCTTCCTCGGCAGTGGCCATCAGAGAAAGTGAAGCCACGGCGGTGGAGAGGCAGGCCAGCCTCAGAACAATGTGTATGAGTTCAAGTTTTCTCCTCGCCGACTCTAGTGACCCGCTATTTGTTACGCTCTCCTCCGCCGCTGCCGCCACCTTCGTCTCCGGCAGCTGTATCGCCGCCTCCGCCAGTGTTTTCTTTCCGTTCATCATGTTTCTCTATCTCTCTCAAGGCCTCTTTGGAGGGGGTGGTATGAGAAGAGTTGAGTGCGGGGGAAGGGGTTTTAAACTGAGGAAACGGGTGGGGGATTTGGCGGTCTGATACAGGAGACACGTGGCGGAGATCTAGGTCAGAATCCAGAAATTATTGATCGGTTCAGATGCAGAGTCATGTCGCGTTTCTCATGGGGACTCACGATTTTATCTTGAATAATTAGATAAAATAAAGATCTGAAAATTTGCGATTTATTTGACTTAAAATGATAATCACAGAATCATGGGCAGTGCAGTGCCCGTGACTAAGCAGTGCACTGGACTGGAACTCTGATGCATTTTGTTGGTTGGCTCAGTTAGATAGAGTTACCTCGGAAACTTACACATCCAAGTTTGTTTCACGGGAAAATCGCATTTTAGTGGCGAAGTGGAAAAAAAAATAAATTATAAGCTCTGTTTGGAAGTGGTTTGTAATTGTAATTCTACCTCTTGGTTTGTACGTGGTGTTTAGTTATAATTTTCAAAAATTAATTTCACACATACTTTTGAAAACTCCCTTTTAGACAAGAAAATTTGGCCAACCCGATCGTCCCTCGAACGTCCGGCCAATTAACCGGAACAGTGTACTTTTTTCTTTTTTTTTTCTTTTGCACACCTGTTATTTTTATATTTTAAATAAAAAATATTTCTAGAATTTTGTTAAATTTTTTTATGAGCTTTGAATAGGATTTTGGATTGTATGTTTGATTATGGGTTGTAAGTTTTTGAATTAAACATCATATGTCACATCATTCATTTCAAACTCAATTTAAAATTCATAACCAAACAAATTTTTCGTACTCAAATCATAGTTTCAAAACTCACAAACTTAAAATACAACACTATTCTCAAATCATATTTAAAAAACTCTACAAAATACTGCCATAATTTTTATGGTATTATAAATTTTATTTATTTATTTATTTATTTGTGTGTGTGTTTGGTGTAAATTTGTTTTTGTATTTTGTGTTAAAATTATATAATTATTTTGTGACTATATCACTTCTTTGTAATTTGTCATTTTTTCATTTTTGTTTTTATTTTAATTTTTTTGTCTTCTGCTATAAGAGCATCACAAACGATGGATGCTAAGGTTGGTTTCGACATTAATATTTTTAACGATATTTTGATTTTTTACAAATAAAAAAAAACGTACAAGAAGTAAAAAAAAAAATTAATTTAATTTTTGCAACAATTTTTTGATTTTTTAATTAAGGCTAATGCTACCAATTAATGCTCGAGGGGCAGTTGATATTCTACATTTATTATATTAATTTATCTTGAATTTAGTATCTTTCTAATTTTAACATTTTTTTTTTAGCAACTTCTAATTTTAACTTATTAATATGTATTTAATATTGTATTAAATTATCTTGAGTTTAATAATTTTCTATTTTTAATCCATTAATTAAATTAAATTAAATGTATCTAATAATTTTTTGCTTTTAGCTTACGTGGTGCTACATGCATTTACTAACTAGTGTACTAATACTAGTTATGACATAATTGTTAATCCCACTCATTAATCACATTACAAATACTAAAAATATCTTAAATTATGTTACATCATCAATTGGTACACTAATTAGTACATTAATTAATACATATAGCATTATTCTTTAGCTTATTATTAAACTCCCTTTGTCCCATTTTGTTTTTCCGTTTTTCTATTTTAGCCTCCGCTTGGGAAGTGTGTTGCCTTTTTGACTTTTTAACTTTTTTTGCTATTTTTTGTTTGGGCTAAAAAGTTTGGTTTGGAAAAGACTTTTTGGCTTTTTGGACTTTTTTAGATTTTTTTTTGTGAAAGAAGAGTATAATGATTATGGGTTGAATGTGATATTTTATTTGTTGTGGCTAAAATAGTCTATTTTATCTTTTGTAGCTAAAGTAACCCCAAACCTCCTTGCCAAACGAAATTTGTCTTAAAATATTTGTTCACTTTCTATTTTAGAATACTAAATTTTGTTAAATATCCAAAACTATCCACTATAAATTATTATAAACACATTTTAAAATTGAAGTAGAAGAGTAGTGGTAAAAATATTTCAAAATTTGAATTCAAGTGTAATAATGACATATCTCCTTTATAACTTGGATTTCCTAAAATGGACAAATAATTGAGACGGAGGGATTAAAATTCAATAAGTTTCAAGATTAATAAAATCAAATGAAGTATTATTAATTGCTCTTTCTCAGGAACTTGTTAGTATGATCTTTTAATTAATTTAGCCACTTCCCAAATAAGACATAAAATCTCAATAATGTTAGATGTTTGGCCATAATAATTTAAAAAAAAAAAAAAAAAGGTGGTCTCCTTTTTATGTTATTTTGGAGCTGGTAGTGAACAAGTTAACGAGAAAAACTTAGTGCAGAGAATTATTTCACATAATCAATCACCTATTTGACACAAAAAGTGGAATCATTTGTGTGAAATCTACCTACGTAAACCTGAATCTTTGTGATTCATTCATCTGTATTTTTTTTTTTTTTTTTTTTTTTTAAAAAGTTTTTGTGCATGTAGCAAACTCCAGGTTAATCAAAGAAGAAATAGTAAGATGTAAAAAATATTGTTAACTATGATTGGCGAGAAAATAAAAGAGGAGAGATTTATACTGTGTTTGGTTGGGGGCTTTGGGGAAGGATTTGGAAAGGGAAAGGGAAAAGGTGTGTGAAACTATGTGAAATGTAAGTATATTTTTTTCACATTTCACCTACCTTTTCCCTTTCCCTTTCCAAATCCCTCCTCAAATCCCTCAACCAAACACAGCATTAGAGAAGAGAGAAACAAATAAAGGGAGAGGCTTTTCACAAGTAAGATGGCCAGATGTGAGAGAGAGAGAGGGGAGGGACTTGACACAATAATAGTTAATACATTTTTAATTCATATTTGATGAAGAATTCAAAATTGAGTTACTTTTCCTTCTAAAGGTCATCATTTTAATATCTCCATTGCAACATTCATAACATATATAAAATTGAACTTTACTTTTATGATTTTTTATCATATAATAAATTAATACATAATTTTAAAATTTCCATTGGAAATACACTTTAAAGGGAATAGGTAAAGGAATCACGAAAGGATTTGAATGGAAACATCTCGTTATCCCATTGATTACAGCGTTGTTTGATAAAAACTGAAAAACTTCGAATCTTAACCTAAATTTTACTTTATTTTCTCATCCTATGATTTTCATAATTATATTCTTAAATTTTAACTCTTGCTTTCATATAGTCTTTATGTTACCTCACTTTTTAAAATTTTAGTGATAGTCGAAAAATAAAGAACCAGAGTTAAAGTTGGAAGGTGACATACTTCGTCATACAATTTTAAAGTAATTTTAAAGTGAAAAATTAAGGTAAAAATTTATCCAATTAAATTAAGGTAAAAAATTTTAAGTGAAAAATGTAATTTATCCAATTAAAAATTAAGTATTTAAAATTAAATTAAAAGTTTTAATCTAAAAAATTGTTTGGTATTTATTTGAAATTTAAGTATTGAATTAAAAAATGTAAAAGAAACTGAATTTGAAATTTTTTAACTTTTGGGAAAATTACAAAAAAAAAACAAAAACATCTTAAGATTTGACTCTTGTAACAAAATAAAATCTAAATTTTTAATTTGATTTATTTAAGTTCTAATTTTTTGATTTGTTTTCAATCTAAACCATTTACTTATTTTGGTTAAAACAATTGACCCCAAAATGGTATTTTAATCATTACGCTCAACAAAAAGAGTATTTTAAACATTTTATATACACCTATATATTGACTTCAATCACTAAAATAAAAATTTTTTTCTATCAGTTTAATCAAAAATTTAAAATTTAAATTAATAAAATTAAAAGCTCAATATTATTTTGTTATAAGGGTCAAATTCTTATTTATTTATTTATTTATTTATTATAATGTACCCTTAACTTTTTTTAATTTGTTTACGCACTCCATATTTACTAGCCGTTGGTGTCATGGAAGTGGAAGGAGATCTTTTGGTCAATAGTTCAATTTATCTATGATTTGAAGAGGGACTAACAAATCTAATCTTGATAACCATGATGAGTAGATTTTCAACTTCATTTAAATGGATGTCCATTTGGAGGACAAATAAAAAGGTGCTGCAGGACATTGGTATGATATTCCTTTTTTCAATAAACTTTGTGTTGGAAATTTTTTTTTACTCATATATAGTATATATTTTATTTTATGTTAGAAAACGTGTAACTGCCACTATACTTGAGTGGATGTGGCTGCACACAAGGACGGTCCGACCGCACACGCTCACAAGTGGCTTTGGCAGTTTCACATTGTGGCACCACTCTAAATTTATCAATATATGATACATAGAAATGAATGGATTTTTATATATACTAACAAGGCTATACAATATGCTAATGCAGGATCATTGATATAGCGGTTTAGATCATTGATATAGCGATTTTGAAACTCACCTAGTAAGACTATCACCCACCCATGTAGCTTCCATGGAACTCCCATTCTAAAATTCAATCCTCCAAAGATCCATATTTAAACCTAAAAGGCAATCAGTACACCAAACACACGTTTACAAAATAACTCAAACATGTAAGAGTATATGTCAAATCTAACTCAATAAGTGCAAATATTGTAAAATTCAAGTAGATAGCATACTAAGAAACACTAACACTTTTAAGAAAGCACGTAGCATGTCGCATCGGACATCAACACAACATCACTCGACACTTATCAGATCCCAACACCTGTTAGGTGCCGTTTTGGCAACCTACAAGAAAAGCTACGTTTTGCCATTTGCTCAAAAACGCCAAGCTTGGCCAAAACGCTGAAAATTCCATTTGGGAAGACCAAAAAAACCAACACCCAAATTTACCAAACTATCCTTTGGAACATTTTAATTAATTAATTCAAAAATCAAAAAGTAAGGATATTTTGATCATTTTGGCGTGATGTGACACTTTTAAAAAATATTAAACCAAAAATTAAAAAAGTCAACTTTTTACCAACTTCCCAAATCACTTCCAAAAAAGCCAAAAAGCTTGGTAAAAAGACAAAAGTCAATTTTTTACCAACTTCCCAAAACACCCCTAGATACAAGTCCAAACATGTCCAATTATTTTATTTTTTTTTAAATTTGGACTCAGACACACTTCAGACACTTGGGGAACACATGTGTCTATCACTTAGACACATATGAAAAACATTACAAGTTTGAATTTAATAACTTGAAATCCAATGATATAAGAAAAATAATGTAAATTTATACATAA